TAGTCATGCGATTGGGTTTTACCGCCTTGTTGGAATGGGCCAGTGGAGGCGGTACATGGAGGGAAGTCCGGAGGGATGACGGGGAGGGAGTGGGGGTAGGTAACGATTCAACCCTTCTACTGTCGCTGGAAGTTCCTCGTAGCGAATGATCCGGTGAAAACGAGGGAAGCGATTGCCGCTATGAGGGAGGGAGGCAAGGTAGTCGTGGTAGAGGGAGGAGAGGGTGCGGAAGAGCGCTGCGCGAAAGAAATCATAGTGGCGACAGGCGGGGATCGTCCCCGTGGCTACGCAGTAGACTTCTACTACGTTGCACTGTGTCCACGCAGCGCTGAACAACAGGATATGCAGACAGAACGTGGGGGCAGCGGACTGAAAGGAGCGGTGGGGGTAGACGGTAGCGATTAGGCGCGTAGAGTAGAAATCACGGAAGAGATGAGGATGGAAGGGGTGGCGGGGAAAGGTGATGGGGGTGCGGATTTGCTCGAGGGTGAGGTAATCAAGGGGGCGGCGAGATAACGTCCGAGGACGAAGGCCTATCCCCCGCATCGGTACATGGACGAACTGGGGGACGGGTGGGGCTGGAGGGGGAGGAGGATCGGCTCCGTCTCCGCCGTGAGGTGCTTGGGGTGGCGGCTGCTGGGTCGCCATCTTCGGGCTTCGGCGGCTCCGGATCCCTGGTTGGATCGTCACTGATGCGCAGGCTTGCTCCGTTGGCGAACTCCAGCTGGCGTTTCCCGGTGGAAATTTCTTCTCGCTTGCGTGCTGCCTCAGGATCTTTCGCCTCCGTGCCAGTACGCGTCGCTTCCTCCGACAAGGCTTCCCACTCAGACCCGGTTTCTTCTTCTTCTTCTTCTTCTTCTTCTTCGCTCTGCTCGCCCTCGCTATACTCGCTATAGCTTCCCTCTTCCGATGTTTCCTCGTTGTCGTCACTTTCCTCTTCTTCTATCACCACCTCCTCCGCCTTCGGATAGAAAGCGTGATTGATGATGTCGTATGGCTTCAGATACTCCAGCCGCGACGATAGAGAGTCTTCATCCCCAGGCTCTTCCAAGCATGCACTCCACTGAAGATACGGATCCAACGTTCGCGTGAGTATGTGCGGAGCGGGGCTGTCGTCGCTTTGCGAAACGATGTCAGGAGAGAGATCGTCCTCCAGTTGCACGATCGGCGCGATGAGTTCTTGAGCGATTAGCTGGCGATGTCCCGGCCGCACCGATCCGAAGAGAAAACCGAGGAGATCACCCTCCACGTTAAAGCTTGTATGGTCAGCAATTCCAGATTTTCGAGCCACGCGGGATGCTCGCTGGTCCGCGTTCACGTTACCCGTACTCGAGCCAAACACATGGACAGTTCGACAAAGGTCTCACGCCAAAGTCGCCAATGCCCGGGATTAAGGAGTGGGACGGAAAGGGGTTCGATCGAGAGGGAAAGATGAGGATGAAGATCGGACTGTCTGAAGGTAGGGAAAAGAGAGGGGAGACCGAAGATGGAGAGAGGAGCGAGGGGGGCGGCGTGGTTCATTGGGGGCGTGGGAAAGCAATGAGGGTGGGGATTGCGACCGCTGGCTCGCGCGGAGAGAGGCGGACCCCGTCAAGATCAGGTGCGAAGGTTGGGATGAGATTGTGCCCTGGTCGGGCAAGACCGTGCTGCCACACGTTGGACACGTGCTCAGTCCACTCTCGCAGCGAGGTCAAGATCACCATATGCCACAGTGGATTGACCGTACTGATGTCGCCGCTGAAAGCCGCGACCGTGGTGATGTGGCTCGTTTCGGGAGCCGCTCGCCGATGTACCACTACCACCTCCGCCAATACTACTGCCTGCGGACTACCTTCGAATCGGAACGCGACGACTGCACACACACCCACATCGCAGAAGAACTGCGCCAGATGTCGAAGATCCATACTGAGCCATGGATGACGAACTTGCCGAATTTCCGAGATGTGGCTGCAACAGTTGATCATCGAGAGCCCGCTCCGTGATGAAGCTCATGGCGAGGATAGAGAGGAAGACGAAGGGCAGGAGGGAGAGAGCGGAGAGAGTGTTAGATCGTCGTCGTTCTCCTCGCCTTCGGAGGAGGAGGGGGGGAGAAGATCGGAGGGAGGGAGAGGTCGGAGGTAGGAGGTATGTCGGACGATGGGGACAGAGCTATGGTTAGCACTAGCCTCAGGCGTGACGCGCACCGTGTTGGCGCCGTTGGGTCCGAGCTCGACAACACGAAAACAGCCAGAAAACTTGGGAGCGAGTTTCCGGTCGCGTGCACATTTACGTACCTGCACTAGGTCCCCTAATTTATATTGATGCTGGGGCCCAACATTTCCATTTCGAGCCTCATAGCTACGGACCTGCCAACCGTGGGCCAGATCGGTCATCCTTTGTCTTTTTCGGGCTAGCTTCGGGACGGCCCGTTCCATTAAATCGGTATACCTTTTGGCCTTGGCCTTAAGGGCGGCACGCGTGTCTCTACCCCCTACTTCGGCGATTTCCGAGTTACCCCGGTAGTCGACACAGGGGAGGCTATTAGTGCGAAGCTGGAAGGGGGTGAACCCCCTGATATACGATCTCGGGCCACGGACGCGTGTCATGTGCCGCTAAATTCCTGCGAAGGGCAGTTTTAATCATACGGTTGGCATTTTCGACCAATCTGTTCGACTGAGATACATGGGGTACCGTATGTAGGAGCGTGATGCCCCTTCGTGCGAGCAGTTCCTCTACTTCGCCTTTGAATTCAGACCCATTGTCGGTCAGAATTTCTTCCGTATCTAGATGGGTATAGAGGAACCGATCGATGTACGTGGCTATTTCTGCGGCCTTGCGGGTCTTGCAGGGGTAGACTTCGATGTACTTGAAAAAATGATCTATTAATACTAAAAGGATAGAATATTCACAGCGGTTTGGGCCAGGTGGCACGTCAATATCTGTTGTGTCCATACTGACTCGCTGGAAGGGGCGTTCTACATCCGTAGGTACTATCGTGTTCGGTCCCCGTATTGGGGCGCGATCAGCGGCACAGACCAGACAGTTGACGACAACGTATTTGACATCATCTCGTATATTGGACCAGAACCGATGCCTCCGTGACACGTATCGCGAAATGAGCGGCCTGCTCTTCGTGAGCAGATCGGGTCCAATCGTATCTCTGGAATGGATGAGGAACCGTCAACCACGAACCCGATCCGTCAGTTTTGCGCTTTTCCAAATGACGGTTGATCCATCGATAGTCCCGAGATCTCTCGGTAGCCCTACGTCCGTCATGTTTGGTGAGGTGACCCAATGATAATCCCGCTAATTTAGCTAATAAAATTTTATCCGTCCAAACCTCCGCTCGACAGTATTTCTCATCATATTCAGGTTCGTCCGTTCGGGCGGCCTCGAATCGGACCTCTGTGGGAAGTTTGGCCGTTCTACACAAGGGGCACCTCCATTCCTTGCTACTCGTTCGATAGCGAACGCAGGCCCCGTGCGCACGATTGACACACKTGGCACATTCTACCCAATCGACAAACCCGGTTTCGAAAGGATGACAGTCAACCCCATAAACCCGTGCAATACATGTACAAAAATAACAGAATTTATCGGGGAGGGTGGCAAAGAAAGCGGAGGAGGTGAGAGGGGCAGAATTCGCAGAGACGGGTGGGGTAGTCATGATGGCAGAAAGGGAGAGATGGGACTGAATTGCAGAGGGGGCGGAACAAAAAGTGGACCCCGTGTCACTTACTCCTTTGACAGGATCTCCACTTGGCCGTATCGAGGTCCGTTCTCCTTCTTTGGTTCGTTCCACGGAATCACCTCCTCATTCTTCGGAACCTTCTCAGGTCGGTGCAGTCGTGTCAATCCGTCCGCATTCCCGTGCCTTTCTTGTTTTCGGTGACGAATATCAAAGTCCATGCTCTGACTGTTGCCCATCTCCCGATCATGCCCGAGTAATCCTTAGATTTCTTCAGGGCTAGCAGAGGCTCATGATCAGTTACCAATGTAAACTTAGCTCGGAAGTGACTACTTCCCCAAAGAGCAGCGTAGATTCTCCTGTTGGAGCGGCGTAGTTACGCTTGTAGGCGGGCACCGATTTGGACGCATACTCCACTACGCACTCAAGTCCGCTTGGTCCCACCTGGGCCAGGATCGCCGAAATTGCCTCTGGCTGCCAGTCAGTAATGAGGACACAAGGTTTTTCGGGATCCATCCTTATAAGGACCGGGGCCGAAATGAGGGCGGCCTTGAGTTTCGAAAACGCTTGATCGCACTCCGACGTCCAGATCAACGGTTGATCCTTTCGCAGCAGATTCGTGAGGGGTCCCGCAATCGCCGCGAAGCCCTTGATGAACCTTCGGTAGTACGAGGTCAGGCCCAAAAAGGCGCGAACTTACGTGATAGTCGTAGGCACCGGCGCATCTCTCACAGCTGCCACCTTCTGCGGCTCCGATCTGAGTCCCTGGTCTGTTACCACGTGTCCCAGGAAGGAAATGGTGGTAAGGAAAAAATGGCACTTCTCGAACGCCACCTTGAAACCAGCATCTCGTAACGCATGCAGTGCCCATTCGATGTGCTGCACGTGCCCTTCGTAGGAACTCGAGTACACCAGAATGTCATCCATGTATACGATCACGCAGTAGTTAATGATCTTCTGCGCCAAACGAGTCTTCCGCACGAAATTCTGGAAGGCCATGTTCATGGCTCGCTGAAAAGTTGCGGGGGCATTGCAGATACCCATCGGACACCGAATCCACTGCCACGTACCTTCGAAGAGTACAAACCCAGTCTTCGGGCGATCTTCTTCTCGGACAAGAAGATGATGGAACCCATGGTGAACATCAAACTTGCTGAAAAATCGAGCACTCCCAATCGCATCCAACAACTCGTCAATCTGGGGAGAGGGTACACATCCTTGATCGTGATATCATTCAACTTCCGATAATCGATGCAAATGCGAATTCCTCCGTCCTTTTTAGGCACAATTACTACGGGAAAAGACCACGGCCCTATAGCGGGTTCGATCCATCCATTAGCTTCAAATTCTTTGATCCGCTGAAAAGCAGCCGCTCTTTGAGTTGGTGAGTACCTATAAGGAACGCAGCTAATGGGTGGATAATCCGCCATGAGAATGACATGTTCAATCACGTTAGTTAGGCCGATATCATTATTGCGAACACTCAATACTTCCATGTAGCCATTCAAAACACTGATTAGCGACTTTTGGAGTTCGGTGGGGACGTGGTTTGGGAGGGAGATTGTCGGTCGTCCAGGGATCTGAAGAGATATGTCGACCCAATCAGCCGGCCTTTCCCATCGCTCATGGACACTAGAAAAAACTGAACTACTGGTGCGAACAGAGAAGACAGTCGCAATCATCTGTGATTCAGCAGGGCTGATCATTTCGGTTTCCTTGGCTTCGGCATCAGTCTCCAAACCGGCCGATGTTTTTTCCACAGTTAGTGTTGTAAGATCCGCCATTTCCTGCATCAGATCGGGTACGTCACCTACCGGTGCTTCGGCCTCTTGTTTAATCAAAGCGATGGTCGCTCCCATTGTTAGCAACGATCTTGGTGGGAAAACAAAAACATCCACGTATTGTTCTGTCTGTTGCTAGCGTATTCGTAAGGAAAGCGCTCCCTCGTACAAGGTGCGAGGGGGTTCCAAATCAGCGCTCCCTCGTACAAGGTGCGAGGGGGTTCCAAATCATCTGCTAGGTCAGATACTTGCAGGATGGGTTCCCCGAGGAGGGTTGAAGGGCTGATCCGGGTTTTCAGAGGCGCGAGCGTGCCGTCTTCCGAATCCACGTGGAAGCTTCGGGCGGTTCTGGGGCACACTCGAAACTCTTCGGGGATCTCGTGCTCGAAAAGTTCGACCAGGTGCTTCCATTCATCCTCACTAGGCATTTTTTCTTCATACACTTGTTCCCCGATTCCGCTACTGATGTCCAAGGAAGAAGGTTCCTCAGGATCGAGGCCTTGAATTATCCCTACTTGGGAAAAGTTAGGAGTTCGTCTTACCATCCGGGTGGAGATCCGCAAAGGGATAGTCTGAGGTTTTCACCCAGTTTGCGTGAGTACCAGTTGTTTGGAGTCAAAATGCAGACGAGCACCTACCGCCATCGCCCAAGGTAATCCTAACAACACAGAATAGGAGCGCACATCTATTACTAGTGCGTTAACAAGGACGTGTGCTCGTCCGACCTTCACAGTCACATTCTCAAGAATACCTACGATGTTCATTGCTTCCTCGTCGGCAGAGACATAATTGTCTTTGACAGATTGAGGAAGAATGGATCCGAGCCGTCCTGTCTTTCTTACTGTGTCTAAGGATATGGTCACTGCGGAAGACCCAGTATCGATAAGGGCGTTAAACGGTTTGCCCCAAACTTCACAATCACACTCAACGCTTTTCTATAACATTGGCCGATTTCGTACGAAGTGATCCTTCTCTGCCAACGAAATCGCAGCTACTCGTGCTGCTTCGGGTTCATCTGTTTCAGGTTCAGGTGGTGCAACCTCCTCACCTCCTTCCTTCTTCTTCAACATTCGCTGTATTCGCTGGTCCGTGAAGCGCTTTTGATTTTCCTGGCAATGTTGCAGGAGTTTATCGTTTGCAGCTTCAGAGATGGTTAGCAAATGCCCCACCGGGATCGGAACACGAATATCCAGCTGCTTAAGCGCTCGTAATACATTAATTTTTCCCGTCCGAAACTGTGGACCGGGATTGGATTCGCGATCGACCCATTCAAGATCATCATGGGTCAATCGGATCGCTCCGACCATGCCGGCGAGATGAAGATACTCGAGTGGATCAACCACGTCAGCAGCGTCAGAGGAGGAAGAAGCTCCCGAGGTTGAAGCAACTGCCGTTGAGGGGGAGGGTTGCTCATATACAACAAGTTCCCCTCGGGCCGTGTCCATCGGTGCGGCCACTCGTCCTTGGTTCAGAGCTACAGGGGCCGCGGCTGGAGGGGGCTGATTACGTTTCGGTTGCGGACAGTTCCGGACAAAATGTCCGGGCTGTTTGCAGTTAAAACACTCGACCTTTCCTGCTGGATTAGCTGGGTGAGGGAACGGTGGGGCATACCTAGGTGTAGGCGGGGCAGGCAAGAGGGGAAATGACGCAGCGGCAGGTCGAGCAGGGGCCGGGTTGGGCTTAATTAGCCTGCTCATTATCTGTTTCATCCGCCCCATATGAGCTGCCTGCATTTGAACCAGGTTGCTCATCCATTCCGATTGCTTGGTGGTGGCCGTATGGATCATTTGTGCAAGATGTAAGTTTGTTACGGCCTGAGAGGGAGAATCGTTGGGGATTCTGCTTTTAACGGCCGCTACCTGTGGATTCCTTGGGGGCAAGGACGACGAAGCTAACGGGATATCAGAGGCGGTCCCGTCGGGGAGGTCATGGGGATAAAACCGTTTTACCGCCCGTAACCACGATCTTCTTTTAGTTGCTACATCCTGTATCGTATCTGTGATGTCTTCGTCTCCCTGACTGGTATATTTCTTTGTATCGGCCAGGTCTAACTCGAGGGCTTTAGCGATGATAGCCGACAGCTGGTGAGTTTTTGGGGGAACCTTTTTCTGTAACTTCCCTTTTAGCGTCGGACTTCGTAGATGATCGATGAACAAATCTCGAGCGGATTTCTCATCTCGCCCAGATTTATCCAACGTGGTTTGAAATCGATCCACAAAATCAGGCAGCAATTCCCCTGGTCCTTGCGGACGATTTTTGAGTATGTACCAGGCGGCATCTTCACTGACCGTATCAAATCGAGCCAAGAACGTTTGTTTGAAAGTAGTCCAATCTACCCACATGTGCTTTCTAAACCAGTCATGCGCCGTATTACGAAGTAGCAAGGTAAGAACACGGGGAAGATCACCCGCGCTGTATCCTTGAGCTTCGACGGCTTCCGCCCAAGCTTCGGGGTGGGTATGGTTAGGGAAGAAGGGGAAGGGGGCAGGAACGCTAACCACCATCCTATTACCGTCTGCCATTGGCATAACGGGTACAATCGCACCAGATCGAGACCTGGTTACTGGTCGGTCTCTTCGAGCTGGTTGAGGGCTTCTTCTACCTCTCGCCAGTTCGACTTACTATCATCAGAACCGACACGTGTCGGCTCCGATACCAACCTCACGCCTTGTGCTGTCTTTCGTTCGGAGTGCTAGAGGTGCGGAAAGGGCGCCCAGAAAAACAGCAAGATGGGGTGTGCCAAGGATTTTTGGAAATTGAGTATGCGGACACAGACGGAACTGAAATTCCCCGTGCTGGTCCAATGAAGTAAGTCGACCGTTTTTCGCACGTCGCAAAATGCGCGCGAGAGTTCGGCGCGAATACAAATTCAATCCAAAAAGTATTGTCGGACTTCCCACCGTGCTACGACCCTTCTTTTAGAGCGAAAAGGTTTCGGCACACTTCGCGTGTCTCGTCTTCGTATCAAGTCCCGACGTCGTTCACCCGTGAGTTCTGAGTTCGACGTGGAGCGCCTCAGTCGTGTGGCTCTTTCTCTGTGTTCGTCTTCACTCCATACGCGGTAGTGGAAACCCTTGGATTCGTAGCGCTCAAAGCGCTGGCACTCGGTGCATAGAATGCGAGGCCAGTGAGGTTCTACTGCCGTCCACGGGATGATGATCAACTCGTTAAATGGCAACAATATCGAGTAAGGTGGAAAGTGTGTATCGATAATGACAAACCCAGCCTCTACGAATCCTGAATAACGATTTTCCGGAGGGAAGTAATATCGTCCGCCGATCCGTGCGACAGCTTCTCGTACGTCCCACTCGCATACACGTGTCCCTTCCTCGTCGTAAAGAAAAGGTCGCGTTGACACGGGAGATATGGGAGGCTGACGCCCGATCGAAGGGCGTTTGTCAGTCCATATGTCAATCAATTGCAAAAATCCCGAGACGTCATCAAGGAAAAACATTCGCACAACCACCAATCAATTCTTTTCGACACGAGAGAGAGAG